CATTTTCAAAATCTTTGAAGCTTTGATTGTTTTATGTTGTTGTTTTGATATATTGTGCACTTACTTTGTCAAAGTCTAGCCTGTTTTCAAATAACATAATTAAGAATATATATAGAATTATCTAAAATTCAAACGACATGAAATCAATTAATGGCATTTGATTTCATTAGAATACAATGTTAAACGTGACAAAACAGTATTTGTAGTTGCTCCACCTCTGTGTGTACATGTTTGCAAGAAATCGATCATTTTCAATAAAATAATAAAAATATTTACTGCAAAAGTAAAGTTAAATGATATTGTAATTAAGCATATCTTTTTTACAGTACAATTTGTATCTGGAATTTTTATTAATACTGAATATAATGGTTTTGCCAGGCATGTGCAAGTTTAAAACAATTAAACACACATTAATGTCTACAATAATTAATCCTTGGTTCGATAGCGTGTAATTTATTTAAAGATTGTAAAATATTGAGGCATTTATTTTTGTACAGACTTTATCTATTTTTTTATTATATCCTTTAATGTTAATTCATTACTGTACGGAAGATGTACAATTTCCGTCATTTCATTGAATTGGCTGCAATTCAACTTTGTTTTAAAAGTACATAATTATATCTTGTCAACGGCCTAAGCAGAAGTAAATAATATTTGACTGAAATAATAAGTAAATAAGGAGCACTTATATTAGGAGGAATACAAAAAAAACAGGCTTGTAGGGAAGGATGCAATTATTAATTTACTAGATTCAGCATAATTGCCAGACTAGATAAGTGTCTGTTATACTTAATTAACAATTAGTAACAATATTCTTCAAGTGGCTTTTAAAGTAGTTGTTCATAAGCACGCATATTTATAGATTCATGTGATTATTTTTTGATAGACAAACACAAATTGAGCTCCTGCAATAAATGATTTGAAGAAATTGCATTCTTAAAAAAACTGCTGCTTTGATGACAAATTTTGTAAAAACTTATTTTCATAGTGTTAACGTGTACATATCCTTATTCTGGTTTTGTGTTACTATTGCAATCACTAACAATAATTTGAATAATTTATATGGAAACCTGTCTGCTTGTATGACAAAGCGGAATTTTGTAAAACTTTATTTTTTTCATAGTCTTAGCATGTTTATGTATTTGTTCAGTTGTCATTCAAACTGTAAAAAATCAGTAGTTTATTGTCGTTTTTTGTTTTGAAGAAACAAGACATTTTAATTTGTTGAGTTTTCATTTTTTAACTTGATTTCTAGACAGTAAGTGCCTAGAGACGTGTGAGTACATATAGGGTAAAATATATGAATGAAATGCTAATTTAAAAATAATTCACATTGATACAAATAAAAGTCATTGGCATTCTATTTACGATTTACAAACTAAATGTTTCAGTTATCCTAATATGCTGTCCGTAACAACAGAAAGAAGTTGCATGGCGCATTTTCACAAAAGTTGACTAACATAATTACAAATGTTTTGAGGAAAGAAGTTTGTCTTTTCCCTCTTTTCATAATGATATTTCTGCAACTTTCTGTTTTACCGTATCTTTTATACCATGGTAGAGAATATCTGTCAAGGAGTAAGATGGATCCATTTTATACGCTATTAATTCCAAAAATGTAAATGAAATTGCTATGAAGAATAAAGATTTTAAGAAAGTAGAAGTATAATATAAATACTTATATTGTTTTAAAATGCGTTAACGTAGGAGTATTGAAAGAACAAAGTTGTTCAAGTCTATCAATAAAGAAATCTGAGTAAAATCTCAAAGATCAAATTGCAAAAGGAATATTTTTCTAGGCAAACAATGATGGTGTTTTTTTTTTTTCCAATAAAAGAGCATGCATTACTAAAGCAATTTCTCAGGCTAGCTTTAATTGTGCAGCTCTCAAGTGATTGTCAATTAGCCAATATTCACACAACATTTCTGGAACAAGTACATATTGTGTTTGTTCACAACTACTTGTAAAGACAATAAAAGATTGTTCTATTGTTACTGATTGCCAATAAAAGATATTCAAAGCTCATTTTAAATGTCTGGAATGTAATACTTTGCAGTTTCTAACAATTGAGATTATTTTAGATAGCGTCTTTGATTTAATTGTGGATCATGCATCTACATGTGTATGCTACCAGGATAATTTCAATAGTTAAAGATTTATACTTTCATATGTTCAAAATACTTTTTTGCAACCCAACAACTTATTAAAACTGTCTAAATATAATGTTTTTTTAATTTCAGTTGCGCATAACGTTTTACTTATATTTTGATAAATAAAATATGTAAATAAACTGGTTCTCTAGATTAAGTCTTACATTGAGATAACATAGCATGCATGCCTTTGTGCCTTATTAATTTCTCAGTAATTTCTTTTCAACATTACAATTCTTGCAATAGAACAAATCTTAAAATTGATAATCATATGCTAAATCTAAGCATACATATTGTTGGCTATGTTTTAGAACTAAAGGAAATGTTTATCTTACTTATTTTGGAGGGAGGGGCATTGACTGCATAGAAGAATAATTTATCTGCAATTAAAAAGCTGTAAAGCAGCTTTTGTCAACGAATCCTGAGAAATTTCATCCTTGATACACTACAAATTGACGGTTTTGAAAAACGCAGCAAAAGCATTACAAACGAAAATTATAATAATCATTACTTTTAACGTTGAGTATTTAGTACAAGTAAATGGGATTGAGAGATGTTACTCTTAATATGCCTCTCATAATAAAAAATAACAGATTCAGAATTTTCAACAATTTAAAAAAAAATTATTTTGTTAATGTTGCTCTCAATGAATCTCTTTATAAAGAATTTGTAATGTATACAGTGAAAATAAAAGTTTGTACAATTAAATATTTCTTAAAGTTGCCTAGTTCCCACATTTTTATAAATCCAATGTCGGTTTTGTAAAAATATATTATTTTTCATTTTCTAAAGCAGAAAAGAAAATGTATCGTGTATCTTTTAATATATACATTGATGTAAATAACTGTTTTTCAAGAATGAAAAAAGTGCTTTTTACTAGACGTGTCACACCTACTGTGTTGAACAACAATAACTCTTAAATGCATTTTAACTTCTTCTACAAAGCTACAACTTTTTGTGTCTGAAATATTTTTCATTTGTTAAACGTTAAAGTAATTAGCTAACACTTCCAGTCTACAGATCAGAGTCGACAGAAGCTTTGATTTCTCAAAGCGTGTCCCATACCACGTGAAGACTTTCTCTAAAGTTATAGATTATCAAAGTAACCGCAAATATGTGTTGTTTTATTTGCGTAAAGAGAATAAGAGTTAATGATAATTACATAAGAAATGAACATATCAAACGGTTTACCTCATGTTCCATTACAAACAATATCATTTTAATTAGGTTACTTTTCTTGTCAGAATTTATAGAAAAAGCTACTCTTCTTGATCAAACATTCAAATATCTTGAAATCTGCAACAGACTGAAAACTGATGACAGGAAAAAACTGTGTCGGAAGTGTATTGAAAAGAAGGTAAAAATGACCCGACTGTTTGAACAGATTGTTTTCTCTCAGTGTAATTGAAGGCAAAACTGCTAAACATTACATAAATCTAGTGCAATAAGTGTTGACAAAAAATCTATTTCACCAACAGTTGTATAACAATATTCTAAATATATTGATACAATTTATGTCAGCTAACGAGTTATCTCGTAATTGAGCATGCCTTTACAACAGTACAACTTGCATCTGGAAATTGAGTTAAAATTTTTCTTCAGGCACGACAGTGCCAGTGTAAAGCAATTAATCATACATCAATGTCTACAATACTTAATCATGGGTTCCATAGTGTGTTATTTATTAAAAAAAATGTATTAGGCATTTATTTTTGTACAATTATCTAATTTATTGATTATCCTTTAATGTTTATTCGTTACTGTACAAAAGATGTACAATTTCCGTCATTTCAATGAATTGGCTGCAATGCAATTGTTGTTTTAAAAGTACAGAATTAGGTCTTGTCAACGGCCTAAGCAGAAGTAAATAATATTTGACTGAAAAATTAAGTAAATAAGGAGCACTTCCCTGTAAATACATAAAAAAAACAGGCTTGTAGGAAAGGATGCAATTATTACATTACTATATTCAGCATAATTGACAGACTAGATACGTGTCTGTTATCCATAAATGACACTTAGTAAGAGTAGTCTTCAAGTGGCTTTGCAAAGTAGTTTTTTACAAGCGCGCTTATTTATGAATTAATGTGATTACTATTTGAGCTCAGGCAATAAATTATTTGAAAAAATTGCAAACAAAAATGCAGCTTTGATGACAAGGCAACTATTAACAATTTTATTACTTTCATAGTCTTAGCATGTACATGTACTTGTTCTGATTTCATTCGAACTCGAAAATAATTACAGTAATTTATTGACTTATAGATTAACTTATTTTTATTTTTCATTGGGATATCAGTTCAACTCCGATTCCTATGTAGCGGAAAGCACGTGGAGACTTGTGCGTGTACAGAGAGTAAAATATGTACAAAGATTGAAAAGCTAAATTAAACACAATGATTTAAAAGTTGCATGATGGCTACAGAAAATTGCATTAATTGTAAATTTGTCAACGAAAAAAATTAACAGTCTTAGAAAAATTTCTTGCAGCATAATATACATGTATATATATTGTATTAAAGCCTAATAATTGAGACTTTGTATAGTTCCTATTTGTAATGTATTGTAATGGAAGAAATTCTCCCTAAATACTGAAAAATACAATGACAGAAGAAAACTACCCTATATGCATTCCTTTTTGAAAGATCTAGAAATACAACATGACCCATCATACTAATCGGGCACACTTGAGTGAAGAGATGCACAAAATCTACAAAAAAATAAATAAAAAGGTCAATGAAAGTCGGTAACCGAAGCAGCTGAATATGCTTTGACTTCTTAACATAATTTTAAAGTTTGTACATGTATGTTCGGTTTGATATTAAAAATAAGTAACAAGTGCATAAATATAACTGTTGTATATTTCATAGGTATAAAATAATAATAGCAATAATTATATCAATACTAATACAAAATTGCAGTTTGAATACACTTTCAGCAGGACTACTTAAAATTTATAATAGAATTTCAATTCTTAATACTGTCTACCTTTGATCACTTTTTTATTGGCCAGCCAATACCTCAGAAATGAGCTTACATATATGGAAGTTTGCTACATTGTTCCTTGCTCTTTGCTGAAGAGAAAGCAGGTAGCATTTTAACGCTTGTTGAGGTCTGTTTTCTTGTTCCATACATTGTCCTAAAATGTTTAGGGCTGTTTCTCTGTGTCCAAGATTATTTTCAGTTACTACTGTTCTTATAAGTTTACTAAGTGCTTGTTGTTGATCTTGATATCTTTGTTGATGACCACAGATCTTATATTGTAGGAAGTACATGAAAGGTAGAGAATCTACTACAGCCCAGTCCATCCAACAGTCCTCTAGTCCATCTCTGTGTATCATGTCACCTTGTGTACATCTAAACAATATTGTAATTCACGAGGGACACAGTTGATCTCTTTCTGCATGAATCTGACACAAAATGCTGTAATATGTGTGATATTATCCTCCCTTTCCTCGGTAAATACCCTCATGCATTCTGCATATACTGTCGGTGGAGGCATATCCCAGCATGAACAGATAATTACGACTGGATAAGAGTCATATTGTTGTTCAGTGTGTCTTAGAATAAGTTCAGCTTTCTCCAAATCTCCTGTACAGTAGAAAATAGAAGCTAATTTAAATGTGCTAGATGAGATGTCCAAGTTTAAACCAGCTGATAACCAAACCAGTGATTCAGGTAAAACTTGATTATTTTCGCCAATACTAGATGATGCCAGGGCAGACCCATATGTTGTAAAAACAAAAGGCGCTAGAAACTTGTATGCAGTCTGTTCTAATCTGTTACTATTAACACTGAAATTAATTAATTTTCCAACAAACTGTTTCATTGTTCGAATGCTTGTACTGTGTAAATATATTAAAATTAACGTATAAGAACTGCTTATAAGATAGCCTGAGTTCAAATATTCTGTGGTCAAATAAAATTCATATATGTCAATAGAAGATAGATAATAATATGCTCCGTCTGGTACAATGTTCAGTTTAACTTGCAGTCTTTGTCCAAGATTAGCAATATCAATTCTAAGTAACAATTGACTGTCATTTTGTAAAACATCACTTATATTTTTTAGAAGTTCGTGTTTTGTTTCAGCTGTAAATTGCCCTGCCATCAAATTGTTGTGTTTAATAATGAAATGCGAACAACGGTTATTCTCTACACAGCTGTGTAATTCCAATAAGCAATATGTTAAACATGAGAATAAATTGTTTTCTCTCCATATACTTGGCTCTGTGTTTTCTATACAATGTAAAAGAACTGTTTTACACATGAAACTTGATACATTGATTTCCCCTTCAGGATTAAGAAAGGTTTTAAGAATCATTTTTAATAATACAAAGCACCTTATTTGCGTTATATTTAAATTAAAAATTAGACATCTTTCTGCTAATGTTGTAGATATTCTCCATTCCAATTCAGGATATTCACTGACCTTACTTCCAGTTGGAACAACAAAACACCCAGTACTGGAAGCATATCTTCTCATTTCTTGTGTTGGCCATCTGCCAATACCTTGTCTCTCTAACCAACCTGATGCTGACTGGTGCCATGATTTACAATGAAAAGCTATAACTGTGTCTGAATCACAAAATCCCGGCGGTCCTGGTATAGTATTTGATGGTCCATTACATACAGCACCCGGAATCGCACCATTTTTTAATGTGTTTTTTAACAATACTCTTTCACTGCTATCAGTTATATGATATTCATTAGGCATATCAGTGACAGGAAGTGGTTCATCGTCTCGGAGCAGTTGTAAGTAACAATAACCAGGGGTAGTGTTCTCATCCTGTATCATGAGGTAGTTTTCTTTGTTATGTTCCCACTCTGACCACTCTTGTATTACATTGGTATCATTAAGACAGATTAGTGCATCATTGTCTGAATGAAGTCCTGAAATAGTTGTACTTTCACTCTTACTCCCTAGAAAATATATAGTAAAATCTATATCAATTAACCTGTACGTGATATTATTAATGGCCTCATACAGCATCATTCCTCTTCTTCTTCTCATCATCAGTCTTTCATTGATACCAATGTCATGTAAAACCTCTGATAACATCAATGACAGGTTTTCTATGTAGTCAGGTTCTTGAAACATTCTGTAATATACATGTTTTAGTAAAAGGGAAAATTGTTTCAGTCAGCCGCAAAGTTTATTTTGTCACATACACATACTTTAAATTTATTTGACCTTGATGTGCTAATACAGAACAGGATAGCCACTTCTGATATTGTGAAATTTTATGTTAGTTTGAAGAAGATATCAATTAATAAATAATATTGTATTGTATTGTATCATTAATTTGATTTGATTTCTTTCTTTTATCTACATCTTTTTGTTTTGATATTTTCTTATCTGCATTATGATAAAATTCTGATGTCAGTGTATAAATTTAACAGGTTTTGTTATAAGGTTTTTTAATATTTATTATACAATTTTAGAAAAATGGCTGTTTTCATTGAAAAGTCTCCCGTTACAAGTTCAAATTGCTATAAAAACTATAAATACTGCTTCAATACTAATCAAACTTGGCACAAATGTAGACTGGCCCATTGCCTTTGTTACAACATGCTCAGTCTCAAATTTCCTGTTACCATGGCAACGAGGGAACATCTCAAAATTACCAAAAAATCACTATTTTGCGTTGATTTTTTTCCACCAAAATTGATTTCAAAGTGCTGCAACTTATCAATGGATTCAGATAGAGTTAACGGCTTTTCAACGTTAGTTACACGTTACCTTATGATCGACCTTCGGCCATTTTTAGCCTCTCACAAGACCAAAATGTTTTTGGCGATGAGGGGGGCTGCCGCCCCATTCATACCCCTCAAACAGAAGGGGGCACATCCCCCTTCTGGCAACCCCCTCATGTACCTTTTATGGGGGCGGCGCCGAAAAAATGATCACTGTTTTTATCAACATTTCTCAAACGAAAACATGTGTTTGGGGTCAAAACAGGATATTTTTTCACTATTTGATGCCTAAAAGAGAGGGTCGAAAGTGCGTTGTTTCGCGTTTACATGAGGTACAGGGTTAACAAAAAATGATGAAAATACCAGATATTACCCAAAATCGCGTTTTTTCATGTTAAAAAATGGCTTTAAATATAATTTTGAAGGAAAATTGTTGTTTTGTAGAATTTTTTTCATTAACCCATTACTGCATGAGCCATTTTCGAAAAATGGCTTTTTTCATTGAAATGTCTCCCGTTACAAGTTCAAATTGCTATAAAACTATTAAAACTGCTTCAATACTAATCAAACTTGGCACAAATGTTGACTGCACGATTGCCTTTGCAACAACATGTTCAGTCTTAAATTTACTGTTACGATGGCAACGAGGGAACATCTCAAAATTGCCAAAATCACTGTTTTGCGTTGATTTTTTCCACCAAAATTGATTTCAAAGTGCTACAACTTGTCAATTGATTCAGATAGAGTCAATGGCTTTTCAGAGTTAGTTTCACGTTACCTTATGATGGACCTTGGGATATTTTTAGCCTCTCACAAGTCCAAAATTTTCTTGGCGATGAGGGGAACTGCCGACCCCTCCTTCAAACACCCCCCCCCCCCCCCAAACAGAAGGGGACACCCTCATGCAGCTTTTTGATGGGGGCGGCGCCGAAAAAGTGATCACTTTTTTATCAACATTTCTCAAACGAAAACATGTGTTTGGGGTCCAAACAGGATATTTTTCATTATTTGAGGCCTAATAAACGGGGGATCGAAAGTTCGTTGTTTCGCGTATATATGAGGTAAAGGGTTAAATTTAATTGTCATAAAATATTTTGAGATGGTGGATTTCCTTCCTCTGTGATTTGACTTACAAATTTACTTGTACAAATTCATTTAAAAATGTTTCTTACCGTATGTCCTTTTTTGTTTGTAAACAAAAAAAAGAAAAAGAAAAATAACTCATCTTTTAATGTTTTATCAATAGTTAATTGAATTATGTCCCTTTAAATAGTGTAAGCTTTTTGCATTTCAGAGTTACATTTAAACTAATAATTTAAGGCTTTCGTACATCAATATTTAGATTTGATCAATTTTATGTCTTATATTTTTAAAATTTATATAATATTAAACATTAGCTTGAAAAAGAAGCTTAACTTGGTAAATAATTTAATCAAATACTAACTAAATTAATAATATTCCATCCAATAGTTTCGTAAATAATGTATTTATGATGTGAAATTATGTGTTTTAAGATAAATTTTATACTTACTTTGAAAGTTGAATTTGATACCTGGTTGTGAAAAAAAACAAATCAAGGCAATTTAATTGACTTTCTGTTTGACAAGAATTTAAGTGGGAAATTTTACTATTTTTACTTCCTCTTTTGGTTTTGATTGAAAATATGAAAGGGAAATAACTGACTTAATTTTCCTGTCATGAAATTTAATTAAAAGACAAATAAGACTTTATATAATAATGCTATCTTTGATATGAATATTGTATATCGGCTATAAATTTGAAAGCTGATAACTATGAACAAAGAATAAAAACTGGTATCGTATCTTAAGAAACATCGAAATAGAATCCTAAGGATTATGACATTGAGCCTACTATTGAATTTTACGTTTAATTTTGAAATATTGAAATTATATGCATATGTTAGCAGTTTAAGTGAAATATATATAAAAAATATAAATACATGGAAAAAATATACACTTTCTATCCATTTCAAATATATAACAGTGAATACCTCGTTTCAAGAACTTCTTTAGATAAATTAAAATTAAGAGGCGTATACCATGTCAGGAAAATCCTTTATTATATTTTGCTAATTTAACAATGGCCAATGAGATTCCGGGATTTCAGATAGTAATTTTAAAATGACCAATGCATTTTTTACATATGTTTTGTTCTTCCCTTAAATTTTTTCAAGAAGTCCAAAAACAGACCGAAAACAGACGGCCACCGGTCGAAAAAGACTAAAAAGAAATATGATGGTATCTTAATGAGAAAACTTATATTACTGTACAAAATAATTATATTTACCAATAGCTATTCTGATGAGAATTTAGTCATATATCCTTTAAAAATGGTAATACATTTAGTAAAACGAAAATTTTGATAATATAATTACTTCTAGCGTTTGAATTGAATACAAGTGATAGGGGCTTGAGATATATTGCACATAACATTGTCTCTAATGACCACATTTTAAATAACTGTGTCTGTATTTTTTAACATTTTTGTTTTGTTTTATTTGCTCTTCATTAGTCACTCCTTTTTCATTGTTGCTTATGTATACCATAAAGATATAACAATAATCACAAATTTCTCTTATTTCACAAATGAAAATACACAAAAAACGTATAGCCTTTTTTCAAAGGTTCGATATCTTAACAGATATTGTTTGCTTTTGATAACCAAAAAAATGTATAAGTTGTGATAGATGTTTTGATACATTCATTATGCACTGAAGTACCTCATTTCTTCTTTTACAAAGATAAAACTGTTCTACTGTTAAACATTTACGTTATTAACAAAGGTAAAGACATAAGCTAACAATCTCTCCGATTTTTATATCACCACATAAGACTAAAAAGTATTAGTTTCTTTTATATTCAAGAAATAATTAGAATTAAAATAATAGTCTTAAAGTGGCATTATTTAGAAGTTGTTGACAATCAAACATGTTTTTCAGACTCGTATTATTATTGCCTAACAATCAGTTGAGATCCGGCAAACATTAATTTGAAGAAATCGCAAAAGAAATAGTTGGTTTGATGACAGGGCTAAATTTTGTAAAAACTTATTTTTATTTTCATAGTCTAAACATGTACATATATAAGCTGACCTGTATAAATTAAATATGATTTAGACTTTGTCATGTTGTTCGTCTTGTTCCTTTTTTTATGACCGCCGCCATGAGAAAACAACCAATAACGCCATTTGCTATTTTTAGTAAATTGACATATTTTATCCTTATTAATATCGATATCCATTGCTTTTGAAATAAATAAAATCTTCTAAAATTTGCTTACCGTTACTTAATCATATTTATCTTTAACATTTCAAATGTAATTCAATTCTTTTTATTTAAACGTCAATGACAATGCTAACGTCCTTTGACGTCGATTTTTAAATGAGGATCGTTGTCTCATGCCGACGTTCATATCAAATCTGCTTTCCCTGTCCAATGAAACACATGGATAGATGTTAAATATCTACAAGCAAAATGAAAGGATAATTACTCTAATTATTTGCAATGTACACAGTCTTGACCACCTTTGTGTCCTTCCTGTCTTATATCCTGTTTTTGTCCGGAAAATTGCGCTCTCCTCTGTTGACTTTTGATATTCCTGTGTTGATTTAAGAAATAAGTGTATAAATATGTCTTGAAAACTCCATGTTGACCATGGGCAGACAGTTCTTAGCTCAAAATAGTTATATTATGATATCGTTGGATACCTATAGATCTCAACCCATACCGAGAAAAACGACATTTGGTTCAGAATCACGTCATGTGTTTATCTTTATTGCTTCATAACTTAGAGGTTAAACTTTTATATACTCAACATTTATGTAATTACTTTGTGACTGACATTATAACAATCATTATTAGCAGAAAAAAGTTTGTCTTCGTTCCTTTTTTAATGATGTGGCTACTTTTAAACGACAGCATAGAATTGTTTGTCAATGAAAAAGTTGCAGCAGCTACTCAAGGTGTGGTTGGTTTCAGAAGTAAATCTGAAATAGCCAAAAAGTATAAGGATTTTAAGAAAAGGTTAGAAGTCAAACACAACCTGTATTATAAATATAATAAACATAGAAAAATATATACATGTATATTAGTTATATAAAAAAAACAAAGAAAAATGTTGCTTCAAGATACTTTGGAGCATGACGGCAGAATTAAAATGAAAACGTTTTATGTGGCGATCATTTAAAAGATATATAAAACGTTAAAGTTGTATTAAGTTTTTCATTGAAACCCCAATAGAAAGGCTTTTAGACAATAAAAACGTGCATTTCTAAAAGAAATATCCTTAGCTGGCTTAATTCCGCAGCTCGCTAGTAATTGTCATTTCAAGTGCATTTGACAACTTAATAAGACAATAAAAGATTGGTTGTCAATAAAAGATAATATTTTGTCTGAAATGAAATTCTATGATAAGACGTAAGATGTGTTTAAATTTAAGTGTGTCTAAAAATAGTATTATAAATATAGACTGACACTTACAGTGCAAACTAGTTTTGTAATTTCTACTAAATGTCCTACCCTACAGCTCGCAAGCTTGAAAACGCATAGTTCAAATTTACTTGTTTCTACTTTAAAGATTTAGTGTTGTTTTATAATTACATTTTCAACATTTTTCAAGCTTTGATTGTTTTATGTTGTTGTTTTGATATATTTTGCACTTACTTTGTCAAAGTCTAAACTGTTTTCAAATAATATATAATTAAATTTGCGGGTATGATTCAACACAAATTTTCATAAATTTTCACGGGCAGACCTGAAGTGGAATCAATAATTAAATGAGTGCTATAATGTCTTCCTAAGTAAGAGTTAAATTAAATCAATTTATATGTTTTGGAATCAAATACATTTAAAGCAGCAATTATTAATAATGCATTTTGTAAAATGAAATTATACATATTGATAATTACTTTTAGCAATATGGTTTGAATACAAGTGCTGGAAAGTATAGAGATATAACATATATTATTGTTTCTCATGAGCACACTCATAAATAACAAAACATTAACATGTATGAAAGATGTTTAATGTTGTGAGACTCTAGACAAAATCACAGTTGTTTTTTTTTTGGGTTTTTTTGGTGGGTGGGGGTATGTTTTCGATAGACGTTTCATACTTGATATCTATTGCTGAACAACCATAGCACTCAAATGCATCATAACTTCTTCTACAGAGCTACAACTTTTTTGTATGTGAAATATTTCCGTTATTATCAAAGTTAAAAATATTAGCTAATACTTCCAGTCTACAGATCAGAGTCGACAGAAGCTTTGATTTCTCATAGCGTGTCCCATACCACGTGAAGACTTTCTCGAAAGTTACAGATTATCAAAGTAACCTCAAACATGTGTTGGTATATCTTCGTAAAGAGAATAACAGTAAATAATAATTACATAAAAAATGAACCGATCAAACGATTTACCTTATGTTAAATTACATTAAACAGGAACAAGATAACTTGCTTATCGGTAGCCATGGCCATAAATTAAGCTGCTTAAAATACAATTGTTTCCGAGTTCAATCATTCTTGATAAGCTGTTGATTGCTGGTAAAGTAACTGTAACGGAAGTGGATACTTATAGACAGGACCGCGAAAACATCAAGACACAATATATTCCTATCTATGTAAAGAATGTTTTCTCTTAGTCTCATTAAAAGCAAAAAAACTCTTAGTCCCAATGAAAGCAAAACAGCTAAAAACTGTATGAAATTTCCGCACATTTATTGTAAAGTAATCCTATATATAATGATACATTGTATGTCAGCCAACTAGTAACCTTGTAATTAAGTATGTCTTCATTACGGAACAGTTTATGTCTGTAATGTTAAATTAATATTGAAGGTAAATGTTTGCCAAGCAAATGCTACTTTAAAGCAATTAAATACATCAATGTCTACAAAATCTTTCCTCGTTACACTAGTTTGTAAATAATCAAATAGTTTTAACAAATTACGGAATTTGTCTTTTATACATATATTATATTTTTGGTTATCCCTTTGGGTTTCCATTCTTTTCTGTACGGAAGATGTACAGTATCCTTCATTTTTATGAATAGGTTCCATTAATCAAAACTTGGTAAAGTACATATATAGTGTTTAAGGCTTATGCAGAAGAAAACAAATTTACTGAAAATTTAAGTTACTTAGGAGAACTTCTTTGTTAATACTTTAGAACAGTTAGTGTTTGAGGCAATATTTATTTAATCTGAAGATTATATGTATTAATTTCTCCGATGATTATTATACCAGTGACAATAGAAAAGCATTTTTCTATTTTAGATAAGTTTCTGTTGTATACATGTTATATTGTTATATTGGCGATGAACGTTTATATGTTTTTGCGGGATAAAATATTGAATTGAATTATTATGCTTATTTGACAATGGGTAATAATAGTCTTTGGTGGAAAGGTAAAGTAGTTCTTCAGAAACAAACATGTTTTGTTTTTTTTTTTTTGGGGGGGGGGGGGTTCGTGTAATTATTGCTTGTACAATCACTAAACTTCCTGCAAGCAATAATAAGAAATAGTTGATTTGATGACAAGGCGATATTGTTTTAAAAACTTATTATCTTCATAGTCTAAAC